AAATTTCCAATTTGAAAATAAAGTCTAATTCCTTTTTTAATTAATTTAATAAGTTGCAAATGTAAATAATTTTTGCATTCGATCTAATCATCTTTGTCATAAATGCAGAAAATATGCGGTCTATTCGTGATTGATAAAACAAATGTCCCATTTATTCAAAAAACAATGAAGTATGTACATATCAAATTGACACAAAGAATTTGGCGAAGGTCATTATTTTAGCCTACAATTTAGTTATACGTATTTAATTTAACAATTATACAATTTTAACTTGAAGTTTATGGTGTGTGCGCGGATCTTTATGCAAAATAAAAATATTCTTAATGAATTGCATCGGGTAGAAGTTAAATAAAAAATGTATTTCTTCTTCAAATTATTTCAATAAATTAAGGAGAATGGAGGGTCGGTATTAAATCATTCTAACGTCTCCATTTTTTGATATTTCACCTAGTCAATTTCAGCGTATTATGTATAATATTCGCGGTCTAACGATTACTCTATTTCAGAGAACGCGTAATAATAGAAATCAGTGAAATTATAATTCGAATCGGCCATAGGAAAGTGTGCTTAAAACATGGGAAAAACGTTTCTACGCCAATGGGATGCACGCACGGCAATATATGTATAACTACGTGTGTGTACGCATGCACCGAGTCTCTCTTTCCGTTTCTTACGCCGTGCGAGCATGCTTGTATACGGATTGTGCGCAGGGCTGTACCGAGAACACTATATTCAAAGCCCCTTTCCATTCTTCGGATGAATATTCGATCGAAAGCCACTTGAAAAATTAAAGTTGCTTTTTTATTCACTTATAACTTGCACGAGCTTCATTAATATACACATCATTTTCATCTTCGGAAAGATAAACAAAATATTGGAAGCTTGATCGATAAATTATACAAGCATCAGATTAATGTTTAGTCACATCATATGATCAAACCCTTATGTCGATAACCACATATGTATGTATATGCTTCTGAATTGCGTTTAAAAGCTTTTTATATTTCTGTTGAAAAGTCGTAGAACTTTTTTCAGTTATCTGATCTGCATTTACAACTGCAGCTTCAAAGACGTTCTAGTTTATTGAATATTATAGGTGATTAACACGCTAAGCACAACTAATCTATATTGTTTTATAACAATGGCAAAATTGAATATATTTAAAGGTATGATTTCTATTATAATATCCACGAAAAATTATTTTAGTCAACATAGAGTATAACATAAGATTTTTTAATAAAATAAAACTCATAATTATTATTCATATTTTCGTTCACTGAATTATGCATACAGAAATGTTTCTTTTTATTAAAATGCATAGGTCAATGCATATGTTTGTCGATATAGTGAATAATAATATATCCGATCTACATTGTATATTCGTCTCTGTATAGTGCAACCTCTGTAAGCAGGACGTGTATGCGCATGGCAACGCGTGTGCGTGATACACGCGCCTTCTACAAACGCTTACGCACGGGATACGAGAGGCTACTGTTACGCCAGATGTCTACTATGTCTACGGGGCATGTGTAGATTTTAATGTGTGGTCATGACACTTGACAAAAAGCAAGTGCTTCGTTTAAAGATTTCTTGAAAGTAAGAAGAAAACAAGTCGACTCTTGATTACCATTACGCGGCAGCCAGTCTTCACGGGCACAGGCTAAATATCTGCTTCCGACTTCCATGAACGGTATTTTTTTTTCTTTCAGCTGTTATAAAATTAAGTAAAGCGAATAAAATCGAGACCGATTGCTTATAAAACGGGCGCACGTGTAACGGTAATTGATGTGAAATGTAAATTGTATATCGTCATTTCTTATCGCTTTGATTCACATTATTTGAAGGCTTTTAAACGATGAATAATGATGTTGACTTAGAAGTTACTATGTCTAGGCAAGCAGATGATCATCTCTCACAGGCAACTCGAGTATCTTGAACAAATATTTGTAGGTTATGAATAGTTTACAAATGCAGCAGAGAGAAAATGATCTCGTATATGGGATGGCTTTAATGCCGGTAAACCGAGCGAGAAATGTCGAGTAGAATTGTACAGTGATTTTTTTATTTTCATTATTACCGAATCACTCTGTTACACTCTAAACTGTATGCTCTAATCGCATAATACTTGCACGACTCTATGTGATGCATTTGGCAGCGTGCCAGCATTGAAACCAAATTAACGAAACGTGATAATTTATAATTACCTACATGGAAAAGTACATTAAAATATGATTGCGTAAAATTTATTTACTTTTTATGAGATAAAGAGATACCGAGAATGTCCGAGTGAAATTAAAAGATAAAGGCTTACACAATTTTCAAAAAGATTTTGCAAGTACCATTAAGCTCATTGTACACTTAAAAAGCTTTTAGTTACACGTTTGATTTCGGAGAAGAAATTTTGGAGAAGTTTTGGAGAAGAAATTTCTACATCTTAATCAAATATTAATGAAGAGAATACTTTACACTTTCTTCTGTTTCGATTAATAATGATTATTTTCTATACGGCTATGTTTTGTAAAATTTGCTTTCCATTCTTCACGTTGTACTGAACAACTGCTCTTCGGAACTTTTACCAAACTATCGATCATCATTTAATACCAACCGATTAGTATGCGCAGGTTGTTCCTTGAGGGGTGAATCAAAATTGCTTACCGAGAATATCAAAAGCAGGTATGGTTATCACTTTATTGAAAAACTTCAAACAATCCATACAGCTTCCTTTGGCAGTAATTCTTTACTGGAATTATGTATATTTATTCTTCTACGCAAGCATAACTTTATGCGCAGTCAGCGTAAAAACCGATGTTCATTTGTAGAACACATGATTAATAAAATAAATTTTCACAAAGTGACTTAAACTGAACTTTCAAATATTGCGTACTAACAATTTTTCGATCAACTAACTCCTTCATGTGATACCAAAAATATGATTTCTTCTGATGATATATCACATCGATATTTTCCTCTTCTTTTAATAAATAAGTAAAATATCAATAAAAATTCAATTTCAAATCAGATCTTTATTTACAACCTTATCAGGTACGATATTCAAGATCTAGAATGAGAAAAGAAATCGAATGACGAATGTTTAATGTTCCTAAGAATGAAAACTTGGAATTACGTAGCTCAATGGAAATCAAGCACATGCCACATGTGTATCAATTTTTTCCCCGCTTTATTAGCTTTTTTATATAGTCTTTAATTCATTGCATACTCTATTATTGTCAAATCATTCACTTGTCATTGACTGGCGTTATGTAAAAACTCGGTGACGTTAGCAACATTCGATAAAAAATGTAATAATAAAAAGAATGTTGCAACAAACATTTAATAACAATCGTCATTTACTACTTATTTTATATATTCTTTAAAATAAATAACGATACGTATCGCATATTCTTTGAAAATCACAATCTACTACAATGTGCTTTCCTCTAAAATCACAAAATTGTGGCATGTGTCTGTTTTCACCGAGCTCCTCAATTTTGTAATGATTTGTAGAATAGAACACATCCTAACCGTAAGGTACGCTCGCTTGCCATTGTGGATATTCGACGAGTACGTGAAAACACCTATACAGAAGTGGAACGAGCCGATAGTAATTGCAGAAAGCGAAACGAAACGTTATCGACGCGTTGCATTAAGTAAATTCGAAATCATAAGGTGCCGTTCCTTAAAACGAGAGACCAAGGTACAAACACATCGACGAATTCCTTGAAACGCAAACAGGCGGTAGGAACGCGAGTGAGCGAGCGAGCGAGTGAACAAGCCCACGGGTCCGCGGGGAGCGTGATGACGGTCCTGAGGCTACAGTCCGTCGGCGGTGTATCCGCTCGCTGGTGTGCGTAGGTGTGCTCCGGGTTAGAGGCTTCTACACGAGTTCCTTGTGGCCCTGTGTAGGAGAACGTTTTGTACAGTGCGATAATAGTGTGGGTAAGACAGCGAGTGTCAGTGAGGCGACGCAGCGGCTGTCAGTGAGTGCGCGCGCGCCGTCTCGGCTCGCTCGAATCGGTCAGCGGTGTGTACGCGAGCAGTGCGCGTGTGTGGGTGTCTGTGCACGTAGCCGACAAGATATGAAGGAAAGCCAGTGGTGATGGTCGTGCCCGCAACGGTGTTGGTACGGTGGTGGCGTGTGTGCGTGTTGGTTGCTCGGTTATATGGCTCGACAAGTCGCAGGCTGTTCAGTTGAGCAACTCAGTCCATACGCGTGCATGTGACGAGAAAGAGCGAGGCGGAAAGAAAGAGGGAGGGAACGTAGTTAGTCGAAAGAAGCGAGAGAGAGAAAGAGAGAAAACCGATTGCGAGGCACGTACAGCCGCGACAGGGAAGATGTCAATAATTCGGTGATACAGTGGCTCCTGCGAAAATATGGATAAATAAGAGTCGTAGAGAAGCGTGTGCATCGACGGCGACGACGTCATGACCGTGTCGTGGTATTATAGTTACCATCTCCTCCCGGTCGGTCGGTCGGTCAGTCTACTGTGACGGATTTTTGTAACGGGAGTGCACGCGCATTTGCTCGAACAAGCCGACGAAAATTACAGCAGTGGCAAGGACACCACAAGCCCCGGGTCGGTTGTGGCGCGGTGCCGATGGTCCCCGGGAATTTGTGTCGATTCTTACGTTGATCATCAATACTCACGGTATAGGTGACACGGTGGAGTGGCGGTCTACGAGACCACGACGACGACCAACACAACGACAATCGACACAACCACAGCGGTGACGGCATTCACAGGCCCAGTGAATACGTATCATACGTGTGTGTAGTACGCGTGCGCAGTCGCTACGCAAGGATGTTCTTTTGTGTGCGTGCTATTCGTTTGCTCGCTCGCACGTTCGCTCGCTCTCCCTCGTGTGCTTCCTTGTGGAAACGTAGTACGTGTGCGTACCAGTGTAAGTGTATACACGTGCGCAAACCTCTTGCATTGTGTGTCAGTGACTCTCCATGCTCATGGTGGAAGTAAGTGAGGTAGTTTCATCGCTGTCACGAGCATCCACTACCTGCCCTAGGAGTCTTACTATACTATACGATTCCTATATCGTCTCTCGTCTATTTATACGACGACCATACACGTCTCTCGTACTTACCTCTCCTCCCTCGCGTTCGCTCAGTCGCTCCTAATCCTCTCCCTTTCTCTTTACCCCTTCCATCAGACCCTCTTTCTTTCTTTTGCTCTTTCTCGTAGTTTATCCGCCTCTTACTATTTCTCTGCCCCTCTCTCTCTCTCTTTCTCTCTCTCTCTCTCTCTCCTTCTCCCTATCTTTCTCTGTTACATTAACTCCCCACCAAGTTTCCCCTCTCGTATCGGCTCCCTTTCTCCCGCCTCTCTCCCCACGTCTTTCTCTACTCCTGTCTCTTCCCTCGCCTCGTGACGACATCCGCGAACGGCGAGCAACTCGACTCGACTCGACTCGACTCGAGGCGAGTCGAACCGAGAGAGAGAAGCAGAAAGAGAGAAAGAGAGAGAGAGGGAGGGAGAAAGAAAGAGAGAGAGAGAGAGAGCAGCCAGCCGCGGCGCGCCGGAGTCCGTCGTACACCCTCGTATCCGTACTTACGTACACGCGGAATGTGCTGCCAGGAATTCTCTCTCTCACAATGGATTTATTGTGTTAGTGAGTAACAGCGACGTGTGCGGGACGATAGTGTATATCGTGAGTGAAAGACGGCCAGAAGACGCTGACCAGAACGACGACGACGGCGAAGACGACGACGAATAGAAAGAACGTGCGCGTCCGGATTAACTCACAAGTCAAGATGGAGCTAGTAGACGCGGTATGTGAATTTCCGCGAATTCGGTGCGATTTTTAATAAGAATAGTGCGGCCAGTGTGCGCCGTGGAGAAATATCATTGTCGTCGTCTCACCTCGCAGCTCGCTCTTAAACGTGCGAATCTATTCTATCTTCCACGATCGCCCGTCATCCATTGTAATCCTGGTTCGTGTCACGTTTACATATTTTCAGTGATACGTTTTCATGCTGTTTGCTTTTTCTTCGACTCCGTTCTAGCCGCGGTTCACTTCGAATCTTACAAGGTTCTCCTGTGTCCCCTAACCTTTCGGCGTTCCGTTACGCGCGTAAATGGTATGGTTCCTCTCCAGTGTATATTTTTTTCGGCTCGTTTCCGCGCGCGTACCGCCCGTTGTGCCCGTTCGAAACGTGCGAGTGGTTCTTATCAAAAGTGTCTGTGCATTGTCGAATGCGTTTCCAGAAACCGGACGATAATGCTCGCGCGTAATATATCGGGCCTCGAGTGGTTTGATTGATCACGCTGCGGCGAAACTACCTGAATGGAAAGTAACTCTCTCGGTGACTCTTGGGATTATAATTAAAGCAAGATGGTTCTGCGCACACGAAAGAGCTGTAAACGCAACCAACGGCCAGAAATTATCAATTCCGTGTAATCCGTAATGGTGCAAAGCCCTAGTAAGTTATGCATTTGATCTGCTTCTCCATTTCGTGGGCACGTTCCGAACTGTATGCACTACGGAGTAGTCAGTGTACACAATTTTTCTTTCGTCAAACTAAATACGGTTTGTATTGGTCCGAGTAGTCGGTATTTCAAATCGTCAATAGTGCATCTTTTCTGTCATAGTCGTATCGAGAATCGAACGTTACGGAAAGCGACTTTCTCAACCGATCAGTGTCGATTCACCGCAAAATATCGCTCGAGTGTTGCGAGATCGATGAAAAGTGACAGAATGTGAATGAGATAATGAACGTAGTCACGCAGCTTCGAGAAGAGAATTGTTTCATACGAGTTACTGTTCGATTATGTTATAACCTCTCCGCAACGGTGTAACTATATACATGTGTAGTTCACATTATATTTATCTCCTTATCTCCAAGTACACATTGTTTGTCGATACTACAATGGACCAAAGATCACGTTGACGATTTTAGCCAGCAACCGCTTGAAATATACAGAGAGAAAGAGAGAGGGAGAAAGACCGTTGGGGATCGTCTTGACAACGAAATTTATAGGTTATTTAGAATCGTCTGACTCTTGTTCCGCAACGGAGCATAACGAGCCCTAAAATTATTTCACCATTTTCTTTTTTTAATACACCGATTTTTCGACGATTACAGTCGTTAGTTAAAATTTCTCCGTTCAGATATGCATTTAATCTGGGCTCGAAAAAACTGTTATAATTAGACTGCGAATCTTTATGCAAAATAAAATTCTTCTGCACCGATTGCAAGACAAATCAGCCATATTTAATTTTCTTTCTTTTTTTAATACAAAATTTTAATCTTTTCACTATTTTCAGTTTCACCCATCTATTTCTGTCATAAATGCATAAAATCCGCTTTCTAGTTATAATATAAGGTTTAAGTATTTCAAACAGTTACGAAGAACTTTTATTCTGAATAACTGTTATAAAGTACCTAAAAGTCGGATTATATCAGTTTAAGTGATGCCACTTGCATTAGCTCCCGTATAAGTTCTGTGTATAATCATTACTTTTTAGGTTTATACAGTGTCACACATAAGTGTTCGTACACCTTTTAAATCACAAAAACTTCTTTAAAGCTGAACCAAATAGCTTGAATTATTTTTAGATGATAGAGGGACTAGCAACTAATGTTACTGTTAGTTGGAATGATAACAAAAATAAAAAGCTCTCGTCTTTTAACTTTTTCATCTGAGTCTATAACGAAAGTTTAAAAAATGCCTTCCGTAGATCTCGGTAACTTATATATGTACATGTTGACAATTTTATCGAAATCGATTGACGTTGTTATGTGTTGCAACAAATTGAAGATCTCAAAAATCGCAGTTTTGTCACGATTTTTGTGACTGTTGATTAAAAACTGTAAGAAATCTGCAGTTTTTAAGAATCTTAACTTATACTGATACAGTTCGATTTTTAAGTTTTTCGTAACTAGACTGCGGATTTTACGTATTTATGGCAAAGATGAGTAGTTCCAATTGAAAACAGTAGAGCGATTAAAAGGATTTAAAAATGTCATTGTATTATTTTCAATTTAATAAAATTATTTTTAAAAAATGGCCTTTTCATTTAATTTCTACTTGCAGTTGCTGTAGACAATTCTTATTTTGCATAAAAATTCGCAGTCAATTCATAAGTTATTCAGAATGAAAATCCTTCGTCACCAAAATTTGTATATCACGGTTTAAAACAGTTATTTTTGGAACCTCTCAAGCCCTGCATTTAGTATCTTGACTAGTAGAAATTAGCCGTTAATCGGCTGGTTTGAATATCGCGAGTGTTGAGAAGGGCATTACGATACTAGTATTTACAAGGATCGCGTCCACACAGTATCTGCATCATTTGCTGCATACATTAATATCAACGACGCGCCAGTTTTGATTTTTAATACACCTACGATGGCATGATTCGTGTGGCTTGAGCTCGGAGCATTCGCTGGCATACTGTTCCACAGGCCGTTTTATGCTAGGGCTCTTAGTATTGCTCGGGTCTGCAGATATCCGAAGCTGAAAATCTCTTTTCTGCATTTGTTGCACTTCTTGCAACTGTTGTATAATAGATCCGTATCATTAAACAGTTCAACTAAAAAGCAAAAGAAAATTTATCTACAATGTTGAAAGAGTAGGCATATTTATTGCCGATCTACAATTTTCTGTTTTTGTACCACGAAAATTGCAAAGACGCTTTCATGGAAAATAATTGACTCAGTCTACTTATTCGAGCATTACATTATAATAAAAATTGCGCAAAGACTAAATAAATGCGATCTTGTAACTTTTATAAGATGAGACAAACCAATCGCTTTTAGTGCTAATAAAAATAATAAAATAATTGTTTATTGTTAATAAAATTATCCTCGTGTTAGTCACCGGTGGCTGATAAATCACAAATGAAAGATCCCGTATTGATCATCGGCACCGACTTCGAATTCTCTTTCGTCAATGATTTCCACCGTATCGTCTATTCGTGCCGATTATTGCTGACCAACGCATAAATTGTCATTGCGTCTACCGTCAGTCATCGAGAAAAAATCTTCCATTCAAGACTGGTGTCGGTCACCGATGACTGACAAAGCTTTCCGTTCACACAGCAACGGTCACCGTTGGTAGACACAAATTCTTACAAATTTACAGTCAGTCATCTCTATACCGGCAAGAACTTTTACCCACGTTTTGTCGGCCACCGGTGACCGATATTTAATATGCAATTATTTATTCTTGTACGATTCGACATATTAAAGAGATAACATAGTTATTTTTGTAATAACAAGATAGTGTAATGAACCAAAGTGTTGGAATTATATTATAAGACTAAATTACGTTCACATTTTTTAATCAGTCAGGATTCTTTCTATAAGAATTTGTGTTAAACATTATGCTTCTTGCATACTAGTTTATTGCACCTACGATGCGACATTATTCAAATCGTTTAGTATATGTTATAGTATAACAAATGAATTACAAATATTCTCAGAATTAAAGATGAACATATTATGTTAACGATCGATTTTATTAATTATAATATGCTAAATTTAAACTAGAATTTTAAAAAATGCATTATATTAAAAGATATGGATAAGTAAAATACGAAATCGCAACTACATTAAAATAATTCAAGAATATTGCTCCATTACTTTTTACTTATTACAATTATTAATCCTTTGCACTCATGTGATGACTTTGAGGCATCGTTAAAAATTGTTACATCACGTTCAAAATAAAATAATTTTTACATTGTTAAATTTTTTTATATTACGGTATGCTATATCGTATGTACATAAAATGCACTAAGTCATAAAAAATGGGAAATACCGTAATTTAGACAAACCATTTCGAATTTTAGTTAAAATGGCTTCGAATGCAAAGGGTTTCAATCCATTTTCAGAAAAAGCATTTTTATCTAACTTATGTATCTTACGATTAACTCAGACAATTTTTATTTTGCAAAAACTTCCAAAATCCAGTTATGATTCTATGCAGTATATTCTGTCGAGTATCAAATGTAGCAATGATTGCCGACTTGGCGATATATATTCTCAATCTGCAAAACAGCAAGAACCATTAGATCATCTTGTACGTATACGGTTCACTAGATTCGCGATTTTTTGTGCTCTCCTACAGAATCACGAGATACCAGAGTTTTAGACGAGTTACCAATTTTTTGTTAACAGGATGCAATGACAGACGCAAAATTAACAGTTAACTGCTCGAAAACTCGCGTCACGTGAACCGGCGTATAAACCTGACCCAACATTCAACGACTGTTTTTATCGCCGATAGCTGTTTTAGCAACTGTTAATTGTATTGTTCCATTAATATTCTATTAGTTATTGAATAAGAAAAACGAACGGTGACCGTGCGCCGTGCGTGTTCGAAAACGATTTCGATTTTTCTATCGTTTTATTGAAATTCACAAACACGTGCAGCCGACGGTATATATCGGTTCTAAAAGTGAACGAAAGTTCAAAGTTGATTCACACAATCGCCGATAAGATTACAACGATGCACACGTGCATCGGCTTCATTCTTCCGTGACGTAGCTGGTAACCGAATGCGAAAACGGTCGAATATTCATTACTGAGTTCGTTGATACGACAAAATTTCTCTCGGTGATAACGAGCGGAATAAACAATGGACAATATTCGATACACTCCGTGTGAATATAGTATGCGCGAACAGTATGTGTTTCGATTATTTATTTGGAAAACTATCTACAAGGTCAGCAGGAGGTCCACGTAGGTTGCAATTCTACTTTCGCTAACTTAAGAAAATATCCTTGTATTTTTTTATAATATTATTGACAAATGTATTATTTGAATTA